TGTGACATGCCATTTATCCAGCACAAACAACTTTGGTAAGTCTCAACACTAGAGACTCCTGGAGCTTAGTACATAATTCTGTTGCTTAAGTTCCCTCTGAGATTCAAGACAGGTAACCTTTGTTAATAATGTTTATGGTAGCCTTATGGTGCAAGTACTCACAGAGGCTTCAGCAGGCAGATCAGAATCAGATTAGAAACATACATTAGCTGAAAAAGGACAGCCTCAGTCATCACAGGGTTTAAAAGGTTTAATTCTAATACCTCTTTAAAGAACTGTTGATGGAGGCAGTACTGACATAATGGCAAATTCAACTAAATTTTTATTTCAAATTTACTTTCCTAGGTATCCATTAGGGCTTGGCATTTCTTTTAATACTTTTGACATTTAAGAAAAGTTACACTAACAGCAACAAGCATGAAACTTAAATAGGGCTGTACAATATATCATTATAGCATTGACATTGCGATGTGCACAAGTGCAATAGTCACACTGCAGGACACGCATGTCAAGTAAGGCAAGGTAACTCAAACGTGTAATAATAATCTACAAGAAAAGTCTGTCTAATATAACATTATCTTGTAATGTGGTTAAGGGGTACTGCATAGGCCCCATTAGTCACCTCACAAAACCTGAAAATGGCATATAGCTAATTGTGCATTCTTTTACAATATCGTGCAGCCCTAGACTTGAATTTAAATTATTACCTGTATGGTAATGTAAGGAAAATGGCTACCAATGCTGGTCCCTGGAAACCTAAAGGTGGTCATTTACAGACATCTGTTGGCACTTTTCCCTTAAAAGGTTAAGGGGTGACTCCATAAAAGCCACATTTGTGGAGTAAAAGATTAAAAACGGTACGCTCAGTCAAATGTATCTCTGTGTACTGTTTCTGTGTGTGTGATTGTAAAGCATGTGCAAGTGTGTGACTGAGTGAGTACTCCGCAGGAATACGGAGCACTACCACTCTCACAGAGAGCTCTTTGTGCACATACTGCCCCTGAACCAGCATGTCTACCAAAGCCTCATTGCAGCTTTGTTTGGCTTGCTTTCCTTTTGTTTATTCCACTTCCTTTCAGGTTCCCCTCTCTGCAGCTGACCAGAGGGACGGCCCGCGGACTCCGAAAGAGGGAGCAAAAGAGACTCAATGAGAGAAAATGAGAAATTCTCTCTAAAGTGAATCCCGTTTACAATGGGGACAGGATAATAGACATATTACCAAATTAGATGGCAGACAATTACCAAGTTGAACACATCTGAATGTCAGTCATTCTGCTTTATTTTTGACAGTTTGTTAATTGCAAACCATCCAATACAGTCATTCCTCACTGAAAAATAAAACAATGTTAGGAAAGAGGATTTCTTTCATACGTATAACCCATGAGCTCTGTGCCAAAAACCACAAACAAGTTTCTTTTTTTTTTTGTCAACTCATTCCTTTGTTTGGCACCATTTTGGCACAAGGTTCATGGCTAGCTCTCTATCAGAGGGACAGCAACAGAGGGTTGATTGCTTATGCATATCTGATCAGCACTGTGCTGAAGCACACCCTAGTTTATCTTCTACTCTAAATGGGATCATAATTGAAATGAACATCATGCTGCATATGTATTATATAATTTATGGGTACAAATGGAATTGAGGTGGGTCTTCATGAAATCCGGTAAATGTGTTCAGTGATGGGGCGTATGGATAGCTCACCTGGTAGAGCTGGCACCCCATGTGCCAAGGCTGATATATTTGCACATGTGTGTGTGCTCTTTTACTGAACTAAGACCTTGTTAACCGATCTTAGCCCCATCTTCCCCTGTTAGAGTCTTGTTTGGAGCCTCTGTGAATCACCTTTTAACTGTATTCCATCATTAAACTAGCTGAAATAAACCCTTAATTCACTGGAAATTTTAAATACACTGGCTCTACAGCTGTTTTTCCTCTCACTCATTCTGACCTGTGGCCTTTTGCTGCGTGTCATCCCCTCCCTCTTCCCCCTTTCCCGTCAGTCACCAACTTTAGCAGTCACCAACGATTAAAAGACAATAAAATATTGTATATATGTTATATTTTAATTGAAATTAATAAATTAAACACCATAACTTATGCCACATCCCTACATTATCATAATAGATAGGAATGATGGCCAAAACTAGGAAAACAGGACTCAAACGAAACACACATTCACCTTTATTGCTGCCAGTGACATCCTCCCAGCCGGTTATAGTGCCAAAACAGACCTGTTTGCTTTCAAAACACACTCTGCTCCAGTGATAATTGCCATAGTAACCAGAGATCTGAAACCCTAAGCTATCTGGGCCTTTCCACACGTTAACAATTACAGTTCACTGAAGCCGACATGGCACAAGACCATCATCAAACATTGGGTCAAAGATGACCAGACAAAGCAGATTAATTCATTAACATGGTTACACTGAGAGCAAAGCTTCACAGTTGACTCTCGACAACGAAAACATTTCCTTGACAACGCAGCCTGGCGACAGGCCCCTCTGGCTTCATCCAGGAGATGGCATAAAGAAAAGGCTGGAGATAAGGTCTCTTTGCTGAGTGCATGCAGCTGTTGACTTTTTCTCCTTTTTTGACCCCTATTTATCCAGGGTAGATTCACTGAGCATGAAACGCTCTTTTGCAGGAACGTCCTGCTCCACACTCACACAGGAAGCTGCCCAGTACAACCTCCGTCTTATTTAATGGCTACTGAGCAGCACCAGTGGAGAACTCAGGGATTAAGTATCTCGCTCCAGGGCACCTCCACTGTGGTAATAAGTTAAATTCAAGTGCTGCTGTTTCACTTCCCCACCCAGATCTATTACAACTTTTCAATCACAAGCTCTCTTCTGATGGTGATGCTTTATCTGTAAATGAGCATTTGTTACCCCATCACTGCAGGTACTTTTATGGACAAAAGCGGAGTTAAGGAGAGGTTGGCGTCATAGAAAAAGCAAGAAATAGAAAAAGACGTCTTTGCAATGACAAGAATGCTAAACCCCTTCTCTGTCTGACACCGTCTACAGGAAGTCAGAACAAAGTTGTCCTTCTAAAGGTCAGGCTGAGGCAGACAGACATGGTGCTTCAGCAGTTAAAGTGTTCATATCCCACTGAAAGTTACAGTGATTCTCGCATCATCCATCATTAGCTCAAAATCAAATATAAAACGTTTTGCTAACCCTCTGTGAAACCCTGCACCAACTTCCTGTCAAAGTGTATCCGATTTTTGCTACATCTGTGATGCTAGATACAGAGATTAATCTGAAAACTGTACATAATATTGTACAGGCTTTATATATGCAAAGAGTAGCACTGTTCAAATATCTTAGCTTTCCTGATTTCCAAAACTGGTTTAAATAAAGAAATAAAAACACAGTTTGATTGTGCACGAAAATAAATCTGATGTTCAATGTCTTTTCATTAAACAAACACAAACAATGCCCAAAATAAAAGCAACCCAGTCTTCAAGTGCTTTTATAAATGACATAATGGACAATCCACCAGACATACCAAGGAAAAATGTGGGTGCCAGTGCATTGTATGCGATGCCAGTAACCAATGATGACTTGCAATTTAGTGTTCAGCATCTGCTGTAAAAAAATATTGTAAATAAATGAATTTACAGGTCAGTCACATGTCTTACATGGATTTTCTCCTCATTCTGACTATGATAAAGAAAAATAAAGATAAAATGTGCCAGCAAAAAGAGCTTTTTTGATATGGGGTCTATTGCTGACTTCCTTCTTCCTACTTGATAGGAATCAGAGCTTATGAGGAGTGCTTTAAGGCAGAAACTGGGCCAGAGTGAACCCAGCTGTCATTCGGTTTCATGTCCTGATACGAACACTTGGTTTGCTAAATAACGAGTGACTGCTGATTCTAGAGTAGAGGGATAATTAATTATCTTGGGTTTTTATGTTTGTATATTTTTTCTATTCTTCTAACTTTGAATAGCATTTTTTAGAGCAACCATATTGAGAAATGGCCCTGCATGGTTGCAAATAAAAAAACGTATGCCACAAATATTTGCTTATTTCATTCTCTCAGCTGGAAACTAACAAAGGAGAAGAAGAGGAAGGTGATATTTTCTCCTCTCTTTCCCAAACAAGTCATTTTTCCATCCAGTCCTTCTCTTCAACCATATAGAGTCATTTTATTTCCGTTGATGCAGCGGTTTGTCTGGGGTTAACACTGCTGGCTCTCGTGCCACATCTCACCACATTACTTTAGGCTGTTTACGCAATTGTTTTCATTGTTTTTCATTCTCTCCCAGGATGCACTTAGAAGAACTATCTAGTCAGCCTTGTGTCCAGGGTTAAATATATTAATACATTGCCTCTATATATTCAATTTCAGTGGCACCATATGAAAGATCTGACACAGGACTAACTGCCTACAAAAAAAAAGCAAGGTTATAGTAATTAAGATTTGAAAGAACCCCCTGTAAACTAAGGGGCTATTCATCTGAATAGTCCATAGCGCATTATAAAGAGATTCACCAGTCAGGCTATAGCGGCTATACATCACAGTAATTACAAAACCACAGAGAATGATTTCAAATGGGCAGAATAAAGCTGCACTGTGAAAGAGCACCCCTGATATTAGGACAGACTCGCTGGTTGAACGCTATGATGTAATAAAAACCAACTTTGGGGTAAAAAGGTTTGTGTAATGGTCCACAAGGTCAGTCATGTATGACCAGTGTAAACGCTTGAGACTGTGCATGAGTGAGACATATTTCCTGCAAAGAAGATGTAAAAGCAGCCAACTGACTCATGACTATAAGAAGAAGGTATTGTAAGAAATAATACCTCAAGGTTCAGTAGGTCACAGTTGAGGGGGCACATTTTCTTTACTTTAAACTTTTTGTGAGAGAACTGTTGTTTGTTATGGACAATTTCTAGAAAAGTACATATGCATCACATGATGAAAAATTATGTCCATTTGCTTACCCATGCATCACATTTTCAAAAAGGGAACTGAGAGTTATAAAAGAACGTCACGCAAGTCTGTAACAATGTTGGGTGTCTCCGAGCATGTTTATACATGGTAAGTGGTGTCTTAATCTTTGTTGTGTATTTCTTGTAATACAGTCCACAGCTGATGTAGTTCTGGTGCTCATGCAGACAGGTACCTGCCTAAGGACTAATATGAAAGCATAGTTTCACAACAGTATGACGTTGGTTGACACTTGCATGTGCCCTAATGACTTTGTATATGTGTAAATGTGTGCATACATGTTAATACAAAACAAAAAAGGGAGCAGTGACGGCACATATTCAATCCAGTACTTAGTTCAGCATAAACAGACTAGACCCAAACAGCTGAGTCATCCAAGTCTCTGCTCTATTAATTCTCTACTCTTTAATATGAAAGGTCACGGTTTGATCCTCAGACGAATGTCGGAGCTCCTATCCTCCCTCACGCAGCATTACTGATACTAATGGCTCTTTTCTACTGCACCGTAACCTTCAGAAAACTTCTGTGGCAAGGGTGACATTGACACCTTTCCTATTTAGGAATCTGTAAAGGTCTGAGGAGAAGTCTTATATCAGAATGATACAGATGATACTACACGTAGACAACAGGTGGTTGTATAATGCGTTTTCAGAATGTACCAGTCCGTTAGTTTCTCTCTATAGCGCCATTGCTGACTGGCCAGGAAGACAAAACCAACACATAGTCTAATCAGAATGAAGTATTAAATCAGAGGGAAGAGTGAGAAACCAATGGATTGTTTATTTTGGATTTTGGCTGCAGCAGCTCGGAGCAATAACTCTTAGTGCTTCTGTGGTCTGACCCTGCTCACTTCCTGCCTCACAGGAAACACGCTGCACAGCCCCCACCCTGCCCTTCCTGTTCCCTATGCTTGTATTCATACACACACACAGTTTTCTCAGCTTGATGACTGTTTCTTACTCTCTTTCAGGTAATTTAGCGCCACCAACTCATCCAGAGAACTATCGTGTGAACATCACACTGTAAAATTATATTGTACAGAAAAATGAACTTTAAAAAAACAACATTAAAGCTGAAGACATTACAGCTCATAACAAGAACTGATCTGCCTTGCGCTTCAAAGACTGTAGACGCAAACTACCTTTACTTTGCTCCTGATCAACAACATGAGAGTGAGCCAATGAAAACGCAGAGCTTGAAAAACATCAGGATTACACATGTGCCTGGGGTGAGTTGGGCTGTAATTGAGAGGTGACAATGTTAACAAAACAGTTCTCCTGTAAAGATGGGAAAAGCTGTATTTAGGGTCCCCTAGAGAAAGCTGGTAGGCCCTCCCCCATGCTGCTGCAGTCCAGAATCCTCCATTGTCTTGCTGCCTCATTTCCCCACAGTCTTTAATCAAACTTGAGTGGAAAGAGCAGGCCATTTTTCACCACAGGCATTAGCCTACCATTGAAACAGCTGAAGATTGGGGGTCTACTTTACAAGATTATGTGACAATGTGTGCCACTAAGAAAACACAACCAGAAAACACAAGTACGGACTGGTAGCTCGGAAGGGTGGAATTTAATCCACATTTATCTCTTGAATCTGATCTCATATTTCTTTGCATGTGGTTGCATAGAGAGTTGCAGGACTAAATGCTTGCAGTGTTTCACAAAGGGAAAAAAAGAAAGCAGAAAAACAGGAAATCAACCTGCTGCAACTGGCAGTCTTTGTGGGCAGATTTGAGTCAATGCATGGACTTCTGTCTTTGGCTCAGCCTGCTTTTAAAGGGCAGACTCTGAGAAGACTGATCGATGAGCAGGTACACAGAAAGGCCCTGAGTCACTGTCTATACACAACATGTAAGTGTTAAAATGAACAAACTATGAACAGTATTTATAAAAGAATTACTGTTGAAAACATGCAGCATTCGGCCTTCGATCAAACTCAGATCAATATAAAACTAATCACAACAAACATTAGAAGCTATAGGCTGCGGCCTGTAGTAATAAACGTCTGGCTCTGCAAGCACTACAATTAAAGTGGCATGCAGGCATAACACAGGGGAGGTTAAGCCATGCTTCTCCTGCCCTGTTTTCAAACTCATCTCAGTACAGCTGTCTGCTCTCTTCAACTTAACTGGCACAGCTCATCCACAAAACATGCAGCACAGCTATTTAACACTTCCAACACTTTGTTATCACCTCTGCTCTCCCCTCAAGCTCTTTCCTTCACTGCCCTGTCCGTCATTCCCTTCATTTCTATTCGAGTTCAGCTGGACGACACCTAAATTTGTGACTTCCCTTCTCTTTTTCATCTTTGTTTTTTTTTCTTTTTTAAGTTTGTTCCACTGCCTACATCCCATTTGTTCTTTCCTCTATATTTATATAAAAGGGATCTTCTGTCAGTCTCCAGAGGCTGCCAAGAATAAAGATTCAGGCCTCAATCAGCACATGACTAGGGATAGCTGAGCCAGTCCAGAGCAGACCACCGTCGACTCCACCCGCTTGTTGTAATCTCACAACAATAAAAAAAACAAACAATATGAATGAAGATATCTGACTTGTGTTTACATCACACACTGCTATGGTGCAGACAGATTTGGGGTAAAAACATGCCAGTGGAAAGGAGAAAAGTCAAGACAATTGTCATTGAAGGAATCCACAACCAAATCAGAGATACCACTACCAGTGATTTAATCCTCCATGAACCAATGCGAGGTCCTGGCCTAGAACTTAAGTTTGGAAAATGACTGGTTTACTGGTTGTTATAATATTCAAGATATTGTACACCTTCAGAAACCCTTTTTACCCATACCTTTTCACTTCCCTCTTATAAACACATCAGCATGGTTTTTCAGTTACTGAACAACCCAATTATTCATGTTAATTGATTTAATCATGGACAGTTTTCTATGCTTGATCTCTGTGATTGTACACATATAAAGTTATATGGTTCAAACATCTTACTAACTGCACATATGTTGATCCCACAAAAGGAAATGGCAAGAAAAAGGAAAGTTGTCGTCTTTCCAACAAGTTAAGTCTGCATTTAAATATAAACCTGACTGAGTCACAGCTTTTTGCATGGCTTCAGTTCAACACTCCATTAGAGCTCCAGCCATGTCTGCTCATTCTTGGTTTAACACAAATAGTTAACAGTGACCCCAGCCCCACCCTCTCTCTGTTCTCCTACTCAGTATTCCCTGGCTAAAAAGAGCCTCAGTGTGGGAGCGCACCAAACTGAGGCCCCACAGAAAACCACATAATTACAAATCACAATAAAGCCCTCAGTACTGTGTCCCTGCCAGAGGCTCAGCTGCACTCTGCTCTGCTCCAACTCCAGGCTTTTGCTCACAGCTACACAGCCCCCCTTCCTTCACCAATTTCTTTCAGTCTGCTAACCCATGCCCTCCTTCCCTCCCTGTCTCCCTCCCCCTTTCTCTCGTCCCTGCTGTAAATCTTACTCCTATCCCCCCCGTCCCATTTGCTCATCTCTTTTTTGTTCAAGCCTGCCACAACTCACCTTAGACAATCTACAGCTCAGTGGACACAACTATGGACAAAAAAACCTGTGTTTAAATGCCTGCCCAACCTCAACTTACCCTCCTTGAATGGTATAAACACTTTACATCTCAGAAGCTCATACGAAAACACAAAGTACAATGTAAAGTACCAGCCATAATAACAAAGTACAAATTTAGTTTCTGAGCGGGCACGCTACAGAAACACACAGAAATGTGCTTTTATTAGCCAAAGATTCGTGCCGGAGCAACAAAGACCTAATACAGTCTAATACAGAGCTTAGGCTCCAGCTTTGAGCAAACAAAACTAAGCCAATCATTAAGCCGTATTCAAGAGTAAGGGGGGGAAATCTCTCCAGTGAGTTAAAAGGTAATTATAGTTCCATTATTCCTACAGGGCATCAGCGGTGGTCTGACATTAGGGTCACCTCAAAAACAGAATCTCTTGCTTGAAAGTGGCATGTTTGTTGATGTTATGCGAAGGCAACAACTGAATTATCATTGCTCTAAAAAGTGTAACTGACTTCCACTTCTAGATCTTCCACACAGGACCATAAATAAGAGAACCTGCAGGGACACATACAGGGAAACTACACAACTAAATATAACTATGCAAACATGTACTGTAACTCTGGGAGTGTTACATATACTTGGATTTTGACTGAATGTGATTGCATCTATCTTTGCGCTCAGTATCTGAGTTTCCACAGTGGAAAAACCAATAAAATCTATCCCTGCGTGACAATATGCTGTGTTATGTATTAAAAACATGTTCAATTAAAAACATAATAAAAAACATTCAAAGTACCAATTCAGAAGAATGGTCCCTTTCTGTTTTAAATTACTGTTGCTAACAGGCAATGAGTATTTGAAGGTTGTACATCATAACAGGAGGAGCCAAGTCATACTACTAAATTTACCGTTGGCTAGTTTTAACTCTAGGAAAGAGTCACAATTTTATGAGTTTATTTTATGTTTTTGCATGTCTACCAAGTAGCTACAGTCATCAGATGAATGTAGCAAAAGTGAAACATGAATTATTGTTCCCTCAGAAATGTAGAGAAAGTAAGATAAGTGCCAGTATCCCAAAATAATTTGATGTACTATACTTAAGTAAACAGACTTGCCAATTTCCAGACACTAAAGTGAAGACAAAACACAATCCTTCACAATGATCTCAAAGAGGTAGACAAAGTCTCACAGTCGCCTCTACTTCAGAGAAATCGTTCTGCTTTCTACTGTATCCTGTCACCATCCAATATCTTTATCCAGCCATTCTGTAACAACTGTTGCTACAGCCTCCAGATCTTGCCTCAAAGGTTCAAGGGTCAAAAATGGAAATAAAGGGTCATAAAAATCAAGATAGCACACAATCCAATTATCCCTTTTTATGAACATGTGCTACAGGCCATATCTCGCCTCAGTTATCTCAAATATTCCTAACTAGTCAGCCATTGTGATTGTTTATGTTTGCATCTGGGAGAAGTAAGGCGCTAGTGGAAGCGTGGCTTCGTCAAGCACTTTTTCTCTTGCTCATTTTCTCCATCTTTTCTTCTTTCTTTATCTGGCACACGCCAAATGGTGGACACGTGCTCACTGATATCTCCTCGGCTGTTGTTGTTATTTTCCTTTTGTCGGAGTGTAATTACTATGATTACACCGACACAAGCATCATTTGAACCACAATGAACTCCACTGTCTGCGGGAAGGAATTCTTAATAATGTGGATGAGACCATCATATGCTCTACTTATTAGTTTTCCTAACCTCCGGCTCACTAACATTCGACAACTGCGCTAGGAATGGAGGGCACACAACTCCTCGAGCCATTGGCACAGTTGTTGCAATTTCAGTTATTTAAGTGGAAAGCGCTAATATCCAGAGTTGACATTAAAATGGATTTAGAGGGAATTATGTAAAAGTGAGGAATAGGGTAGAATAAGGTACAGTTTGTCATTTTTAAAAGGGATTTCCAGTCCAAAGCATACAATCAAACTTTTATATTCAAATTCTTAAGCTCCAGTGACTTGCTGCATGCGGTTATATCAGAACTTAGGGAGAAAAATCTTTTTTCACTTGGCATGTTAACACTGTCTTTAACATTATTGGTGAGATCATTTATTGGAAACTAACCCTGTTTGAAAGGAACCAATAAACTAATTTCCCCTGGGAATCTCCCACAGTTATGAGCTCCTTACCTCGGAGTCTAATGTTAGAGCATTAGCTTGAACAAAAAACACAGTGAACTAAGGTGGTACTTGGCCTTAAGATGAAGTTATTTTCACTATGAGCGCAATAAGTTGCTTTTCTTGCACACACACACACATACACACACACACACACACACACACACACACACACACACACACACACACACACACACACACACACACACACACAGAGCAAAGTGAAAGCAGCTCCCAGGTTTCCAGCAGGTCTGATTAAAGTCTTCCTGGAGGACATAATCCCTGTCAATGAGAGAGCCACTGAAAAGCAGGAGCTGAGTCAGCCTTTTCTCCCCATTCCCTTAAACATGAAAATTCAGGTGATAAACATTAATTGCCTTTCTTCTTAAAGGATCTCCATATTTACCTCGCTTCCACCAAATGTAGCCATTAAAAGCCAGGTCTTGCATGTGCGTATGTGTTAAGCAGTTGCGTTGGAGAAAACACACAAAACATATTATCATAACATGATGTGATGACATTAATAACAACAATACTGAGAACAAAGTAGCTGCCAATGAAGAATAAGTGACCTTCCTGATTCTGGGTTCTAGTTCAAACATGCTCAGCAGAACAACACTGCATGTTATTTGCTATTTTACTTTTGGTTTCTTAAAGATATATCTGCTTTTAATAGATATATCTGCAACTGCTCTATTATTAGATTGTCTCCACATGCAGAGTCTTTGTGGGGAGGAGACGCAGCAGCATGCTTTGACATGCAAAACTAATAAATCACTTTTTCATCACAGAGACACTTAATGTGTCACGGCTATGGGGAGGATAATCTAAGAGCCTGTGCCATTAAGGCAGTAAATGGATCTATTGTTGTTGTCTTGCCTTGCCTTTACTGTGCATATTATAATAGGTGCTTTCATTTTAAGCTATATGCCTACTAATAATATTTCCCTCATAATATTTTCCCTCAGGGCAAATTTGTTTATTTTTTTTATGTGTGTGTTTTTACTGATTTTAAGTTGAATCCTAGTTTCTGTCGTATTTGAGGGACCGTCAGGCCGCCTCCCGCATGCCAAATTATACACCAAAAAAAAGCCCTCCATGACACACACATACACGCACACACAAATTACAAGTGGCACAACCCAGCCTGCGTTGCCAGGGTGTTGTTTTTTTTTTTTTAAGTTAGAGGACTTGGTATGGGGTCTCACACACAATTTATCTATTGTGCCCTGCTGCTTTAAGAGTTGTTTTTTATGGGGTGGAAAACAAAACAACACACCAAAGTACAAACATATTTTATGGCTGTACCACATTCCTGAGGGGTGTGTTGAGACAATTAACACCCGTGACTGAGTATTATGTGTAAAAGATGAGTTATAACAGTCCCAAAGTATCCCAGCTAACACTTTTAAACACATTTTTTAACTCCAGGCATTGTAAACAGACACACCATGTTATTGGCCAATTAAGGGGCGTGTAGAGCAGATGTCATTTTCATGCTTTAATCCTTACTGCAAAGTCTGTCACTTGCATTGTGAAATGTACACACTGACACTGGTATTGTTAATACTGCTGTCATTTTCAGAGGAAAAAAATGGAGGAAAGAAGAAGGAGGGCGGCTGCTTTCCTGTTTTATAAGTACAGGGTGTTTCATGCAAAAAAGCTTTAAATCAGACTTGTTTGGGGGCCTCATTGTTGTGTGTTAAAACAAGCTGACAGACAGTGGTGCCTACAGTATGAGGATCAGAACCAGACAACTGACACAGGATGGGTGTGCTGGTTTCCTCAACCAGCCAAACAAAAGACTCACATCTACTTCTCTTTTACACGCAGCCATCTGAAAAAGGAAGTGACAGATGGGGGGGGGGGTGTTGATGGGCTGAAACAGGAAATGACATCAATCCCAACTGCAACTCAGTTAACAACTATGAGCAAAAATGGTAAAAGAGAGTCAGAGAGATCCTGACATGCCAGCGTCAAGAAAACATATTGTATTGTATGTATTGAGTAATATCCCATGCCTAATCCATTTGACACAGGGTATAATCACTTACTGCACTGTTTGTAGAGTCCAACAAACCTTATTAACTGATATTTATTTAAAAACCTTCAGGAATATGAGGAAATCTATCGAAGAAAAGGAGCTAAAAGAGATGATTATGGTCTCAATTTCTTCCTCCATGTGTGCCGTTCTTATTTGATAACCGTGAAATCGCTTCTACCCACTGAGGATCATCATTTGTAAAACAGAAGGAAGCTCCGATTGGTTTTGGAAGGTGAACAGTGTTTTTTTTTTTTTTTAGTATTAAGAAATTTGACAAGAAGAAATTCTACATTTCTTTCCTACATTTCCTTACTTCAAAACAAGTCTAATTTCTTGGCATAAATCGATTTCACAGCATTGCCAGTGCCATTAATATCGCTAATGCTGATACATTTAGCTGCAAGTGTAACTGGAGTAACAAGAAAAATACATTCAGAGAGCATGCCAGGCTCCACCACAGCACTAACAACTTCCTGTTCAGGTAGTCTAAAAAAGGGCATGGATGTGATGTACAACTGCTTGTACGGGTGTAACAGTATAAAAAGCTGTAATATGAATGGAGTGTGCAGTGAGAATATGACCAATATTGTGAACCTCCTTGCGCTTCTTTACAAAACCCCTGACCACGTGAGCTTGCAACAGTATGCTTTATCTTTGTGACATAATGAATGTCTACTGTTAACCTCATTCATGTCGGGTTTGTTTTAGATTACAGATTGTAGATTATGTAAATCTTGTTTTGAATCACCTTAAAGTCTTAACTGTGTTGGAGCAAGGCTTTTACTTTAGTTTAAGCTTGATAGAGAGAATATGACAAGAAAAAAAAGACACAGATAAACACAGACAGACGCTAAGAGCACTATTACCTCTAGTTCAGACATATCAGCTAGGTTTTATGGATCACATCTGTCCAGTTGATCGTAAAGAACTGAGGACAGGCAATGCTACTGCAACAAATTGACCTTTCAATTACAGTCCCTTGAGAATGCAGCTGTCACAACATTATCACCGTGAGCCCCCCGTGGGGAAAAAAAAAAACATACACCCGCCTAGTGTGACATCTAAACTATTCCCATCATCCATCACCTTCACAAGGGCACCTGCTGCTCAAGTTGTGTTAGGCACCTTGCTTGATGCAACTCAGATGAACAACCAACGGAGGCCAGAGGAAGCAACTGAAATCCTGAAAGTAGTGTGACAGATCAAATCTGGATGTTTTTTTTTTTACTGAAGTGAGGAAGGGTAAACTGGGGGAAGAGATTACAAGCAGTTCCACCCTGTATCTCTGGTAGAGTGAAACATCCCTCTTCTCTCTGTCGTCTGCTCTCTGACAGCATCACTACATCACCATTTCACATCGCAGCAGCACACTGTCACTCGGTACAAAAACACAGAGATACAGTCGTAGCACCTGTTGTCCACATTTTGCAAGATTAAAATCTCTGATGCAGCTAGAAGCTGTCTGCCTTTTTTTTCCCACCACCTCGAACACATTTGAACAACAGTGAAGCTCTACACTTACACATAGAACAAGGGCAGCAGTGATATTTGTGGTCGAGTGAAGCCGCCCTGCTGATCATGGACGTGTTCAATCTTCCACATGGTTAAATATGTACTGTGGCCCACCCTCTGCTTTCATTCTAGGTATCTCATGAGTCTTTCTACTATGTTTCTGACACAAATTAAATTCTCTATTTTTTCCCCCATTTCAGCCCTACCTCACCACCCACAACTTCTCCTCCAAGACAGCTAAGGGTAGGATGTAAGAGACATCATCTCCATTGAAAACTGGAACTATTTTATCTTCTGACATTTGGTTGTTTAAGTGTACTTTAGCTGGTTTCGATATACAGGCACAAAGGTCAGATTGCGGACCAGCCCCCCCAGAGAAGCCTCCCCAGAGCACCAAACCTTCCAGTGCAGAAAAATGACAGGATAACCCGAAGAGGATGGAGAGGAAGTGAAGTGAGCTCATTTCCTATAATGGCAAGAAGAAGGAAATGGATTGTGGGAGGGGAGAGAAGGGATAATGGTTTGCTGTATGTGTGTTTAATGACATGGTCAGACAAAAAAAAGCCCCCACTCCCCAAAGGCACTTTGCAATGTAAGCAATATAAAGAGGGGAACTTTGACATTTCTGGTGATGCTATGGGGGGAGGTCATAAACTTGAGGGGTGAATTGTGTTTTTTCAGGACACTAGCAAAATAAGCAGCATCGCAGGGGCACTTTGTGGACAATCAAGTCTGGGTTAAACTGGAACATAAAGGTTTTTCTGGCCCAGGGGCAAAATACGGAAGACCGACTACTCAGTGATGTGTATGACAAGGTCATCAAAATACTAAATAAATAAATAAACAAAACGGTTTATCTCTTACCACAAGTTGTGTATAGTAATGCAGATGAATTTGGTGTATTTACCCAGAGTTCTGTCACCACCCTTATACAATGCTGGATAATACTAGTGCTGGGCGATATAGTGGATAAACCGGTATATCACTTTTAGTTTCCCGTACAATATGAATTTTCCATACGGGCACACAGCTGAAAACAACTGTGACTCACTGTTCCTTACTTGTCCAACAGAACATTTGAGAAATATCTTTTTAAATACCTAAATACTTATGCAACTATTTAAAAATATTTTGTATTGAAAATGAGGCAGTGCCTTAATAATACAAATTCTTTGTCATACCGCCCAGCACTAGAGAACACAACTTTCTTTGTGGAGCACACATCATTGAAAAACACAAAATAACATAAGAAGTTCCTCAGGGGCATGTCTATCCACAAACAATGCTCCAGTTTCTCAAGTTAATCCACAGATCTCATCTCCTCACCAGCCCTGTCGACGGTCAACAGTTCCCTGCATTTCTAAATCACTGATGGAAAACAGCTCTTACTGAAAAGTGTGAGTGCCAAATGTTCAAAATAGCCAGAATAACATACATTCTGACAAAGTAAACTGACTGATGTTTCAGTACCAACAGAGGAAAAGCCATTTGCTTCATTGCACAAGTCTGTTTCTAGAAGTCTTGGTGGAGAAGATCTGAAAAACTCATCTCCAGCCAAAATTAGATCTACATGGCTGGATTCCCTTATAATTAAGTGGGTGAGTTTTTTTGTGTAATTCGGGTGAACAGGCTGTTTAAAAAAATAAGAAAGAGACATTCTTCTATCTTAGCTTTTAGCCTTCTGTCTCCAACTGAGAAAGCTTTGCATTTTGCAACAGTTCCTGTGTCTGTGCAGGGCTGTCTGCAGGCTTACATGCTGCAGTATCTACTTCCCCCTCCTACACACATTATTGGAGGTAAAGGGCGTGTACAGAGAATTAGGCGTGTGATCTGGACCTGTGTCAAACATCTTCACACCCTGAGGTGACCAGAATCAAGGTGAAACCTGAGGGCTGCACTCAAAACAGTTTCTATTCATGCACACAAAAAAGGGCGACAAACTGCCTCTCACTCACTGAAATATTCAACGCTGTGCTGCTGTAGCATTTTTATGAAACGGCAGGAATAATGCAGGTAAGGCAAAGATATAAGCTGTGACTAGAGGCAGGGACTGAGGCGGTGGTGGAGGATTTTCTAAGCTATCAGTATTTCCAGAGTAGGGAGGATAGTGCAGCCTTGTCCCTGTGGATTCGCACTGAGACACACAGTCTGCAGGAGCAGGCTTTATCTTCGGAGTTCTCCCTGTAATTGCAGGATATTCAGCCCCTTCACATACACACTCACAGATCTGCTATCCAGTGCGTCATACGGCTAATTGGGCAGCGTTGTGGTGCAGACTGTTGAGTAAACACGGTCAAGTCACCCTAAAACATAGGGCAGCGGCTCATTTCTCATCGAACTGGCACATTTTTGCCAATAGTGCTTGTTGTAAATATCAGTTACAATGCAGCTGCTAAGTAGCTGATGTTCAGGTGAGATTTTTTTCAGGAGCTGTGAAAGTGTACTCTGCTGCCAGAGCAGGGACTCAGGCACAGAGCTGTTTATACCTGTGGAACAGGTCAGCCTGACTTGGTTTTGCCAGATAAACTCAGGTCTCTATAATCAGCCAACTGTAATTACACCTGACACCCACTAAAACTCAGACACTGACTTTAATAAGAGGGAGGAACTCTGTGTCTATGCAACACTGACCACACAGGCTGACCAGCAGAACATGTCACCTTGTGTTGTCATCAAACATGACTATCTACAGTAAATAAATGACTGTGCTAGATATATCAGCTCCAATGTGCTGCTAAAATTCAGCACAAGACACACCTAATGTAATGTTTTGTGTTTCTGATCACAACCCTTTAACCCCGGGGAGGTACGAGAGGAAATAGACAAAATAATTGGGCCTGACAGGAACCAGTCAAACACCTCTAATCACCAACTGGCTAAGAGATAATAACGGGATCAGAGGATCGAGCGCTTTGCTTCTCTAACCTCACTATCGCAGTAGCTATAGCTCAGGTTTCCCAGGTATACTCTGCTTAGATTGATGGCTTTCACAAATGGTTGTGTTTAATTGTGTCTGCAGTGCTACGCTTTGAGAAAGTTACCTAATTAAAGCATTTAAGTTAAATTAAGGTAACCGGTTGTTCTCCAGGAACCCACAGGAGGAAACTGCCTTTGTAGATGTGTAACTGTGGTTACAACCTAATAAAATGAGGTCAGCTAAAATCTCACCCTGGAGTGTTTGGCTGTGGCCTTTCATTGCAGCAAGGAAATAAAATAAAAACAGTACATAAATTCATTAATTTATATTTTAAGGGAAAAACTATAAAGTGTGTAGAGTATGTGTACAATTTACAGCATAGATCTTTGTGTTATATCAAAACATGGTTCAAAAAGGAGGCATTAGAAATTACATTACTGTGTGAGCCTTTGAAAGACCATAACTGAAAAGATAACCTCCACTTATTTTCATACCATAAGTTTATCTGATGGGTACTGTGGGCAATCCACAGTCCAGGTGATGTGACACTTACTGGAAGATAAACACTTTCAGGGACATCCATTTGTGACGTGAATGGGTCGGCTTTCATTTCAATTTTGTTAAAGCTAGGGATGGGAATTGATAGATCCATGAGTTCGATATCATTGTTTTGCAATGCACAACTAAAAAAACATGCTGGCATTGATAAAAGGAACTGATAGGCTTGGTGGCATATAGTTCCAATGGATCAATCAATTTGGAACCGGTTTGCGATTCCCACACACACAGTTGACCAAAACTATACTGAATCAGTCTGTCATAAAATAAATGATTAAAAAGACAGAATTATTATTATTTTAATTAATTGACATTCCTGATATTAAGTTAACTGCAATGTTGGTACCCGACTGCAACCCATCAGCAATAGATTAGATCTTGTAGTACATAACTTCTGCTTCTTTCACAGCTTTCACTTTGACACAGAGTAACAATGTATATATTTAAGTTACTGATGATATTTTTCCCTTTAAAATGTGACTCGAAATATAAGCAATATTTTCATGAAGCTCATGCAGCATGTTAATGGGAGAGAGAGTAGTGTGTGTATGGGTTAAATAATGCAGTAAGGCAGGATAAAGGCAAGACAGACCTCTCTAAGACTGACGGTGAGATCGAAAAGTGGCTATTGGTATGCCAATGTTGTTTCTGTGGCCTGTGCAAGTTCTGACTGTGACAGACACCTCATGGTGCCGTTATGAACAGCATATAACTTCCAATTCCAAGATACCATCAGCAGGTGTTAAAACTGGTAGTTATGCCACAATTACACAAACGCTTTTCCATAGTATGTATTTAATAGTTTTTAATGTTTTTTCCAGTTGAGAAACCTGAATATTATAATATCCACTACTTGAGTGTACAGTAACTACCCTGATGTCATTGTTGGAACTCATATAATCCGATAACTGCTTCAATGTTCACTGGAAGTCCATTTCCTTACTTTCTGATCAAGGCTTTAGCAAAATATGCTGATTAATGAGCATGAGCATCCTCACGCACACTGCAGAGATGTAAAAGAGGAAGAGAAAATAACTGGTTTCTTGTCATGTGTTTTTTTCTTTCGTCTGGTGTTTCACCAATGGTTCATAATAATGACCAGTGTTTGGAAAAAAACAGTCAGGGTGACCATGTCAGAGTTACACAAGCTCCTCTTTACATCCCCGCTCCTCATAGAGATAATATATTCTTAGCCTGAAAACATTAACAGCACATTTCCCATCCCGTGGCATGAGCGATGTCATGTGACAGGCACCTTCATTTTAGGTTAACCATTTCACGCTTTGATCATGAATAAAGCCAGCTGCAGGCTAAACAATATGTCAGCCATACGTTGTGATATGTGGCAGCCTGACTGCAGTGACCACCAGGATCTGTGGAATGGAATTCAAGCCAATTCAACAGTGCAGCGACGCCAAAGTCATAAAGCCCATGATGTATACTGCAGTGCAATGCCTTGTATATCATGTCATAAAAGAACAACACAGCAGTGGAAATGAGTAACAGTGCTGCCATATCAGTTGTTTTTTAGTCTTAAAATAGACCATGTTGTTTCTCTTCTAAGAACATCATCAACATCTTTTTTGCCACGGCTTCATAAAACGATCTTTATTTTCCTTCATTTATCACCTCTACCCTGACAAGCTGACAGCTGTGGGGGGAAAGGGTGTATTCCATTGCACTCTCTTCTAATGCGCACACATACAGAGGATATTTTAGTAAGATATCTATATATTTGTGTTAGAAGTGTTTCCACTGTGCCCACAGGCAGCATGCAAGCATTCAGCATTCTAACGTATTTACATAACAGCAATGCCTGTCAAGCCTCTGAGCAAATGTGTTTATATACAATTAACACTGAAGTGTGTGTTTGTGCTTGTATGTGTGTGTGTGTGTGTGTGTGTGTGTGTGCATGTATGTGTGTGTGCTTACAGTAAATCATGCAGAGATATTTCCTACTACCACGCTACTGTTCAGTTGAAGCAAAGCATGCTGCCAAAAAGGAACTTCTCATTTTCGTGGACTGGGAAAAAAAACAGGTTAGTAAGCCAAAGAATAGACCAAATCAACTGGAGTGAGCCGCAACATTTTTGTTGTGGACGGGGAGGAGATTAAATGTCAATCAAAGACCAGAATCAGCAGGGAAGCCTGTGAATGAGTGTTTCCTGTTAATGAAAGCTTAAGCGTCAACGGTGTGAAGTCCTCTCTGCTACATTAACTAATGGCTTTCTCTGGGGACAACTAACAAGACAAAATCTAATACAGCCTTCTTTTTGGTGAGGCACAATTAGACAAACGAACGCAGTTACCATGGAAATTACTTATTGGGTTAGTTTGTTTACACCAGGTAAAAAATAAAGTGCCAGATATTTGATTAAGCTTTTAGCG